CAGTAATAAGTAAATCCAGAGTCATATGATTTATTTTATTTTATGAAATACCATTATTCCATAAACGCATGTCGAAAAACAAAAAATGGGATGGTTGGCTCATTAGTTGGTGCACTGCAACACTGGGAACCACTGGGCTCAATAGACAAGGCAACATATATTAGCACTTTTACCTTCTACTATAATATTTTCAGCTGCACTATTTAACATCTTTAATAGTATCTATTTTCAGTCTATATTTGCTATAAAAATGTAACAAAAACCTAAAGTGCAACTCCAGTAAAAAGCTATTTTTTTGTTTTGGATAGTGCATTGAAGTGTTAGGCCATTTTTCAAGTGTTCCTGTTGGGAAGGTTCTAATTATTATTGCACATCCTGCAAAAACATTATTGCTGTAGGAGCCTCTGTTAGGGTGATATCCCTATTCTTGACAATAAAAACCTGACAGAAGTTCTAAGCATTTTTTACTCTTTCCAAAACAAAGAAAAAAGAACAGTTTTTGTCTGGAGTTACACTTTAATATTGCTTCTTGGCCTAAAACACTATTCACAATTCCAGCCTACATGGCACACATAGAACCTTTACACAATTGCTGTGTCTGTGAATTACTTAGAGCATTTTTGCACACATTTACATTTGAGATCCAAGCAGGAAACCGTGTATAATACATACTCTATATGTCATTGTTTAATACATATTCATCACATACTTACTATAATGAATCGATAATGACTCTATCCTAAAGCTAGAGTTCACTATTGAGAAAGCCACAACTATGTCAAAATATTAGGATGACAGTGAAAAAATGAAACACATAACAAAAATATTTTTTAAAACAAATTAAAAACTAAGAATATATCTCAAAGTGTTGCTTAAAAAAATAGTATACAATCAAGGCACAAATCTAGTAAAAGTTAAAAGTCAAATACTTTCTTTACGTGTGTACATAATTAAACAGCTTAAGGGTCAGTTAATAAACTGTGCACAAAGGTGCAGCATGTTGAGGACCACAAAGGCCTTTACTCCAGGTGGCAGATATATCGGGTGACATAAAACAGATTTTTCTTATGTTATATATAGGATTATTGTCTAGTCTGATATTTGTCTTTTTAGTCTGTCTTTTTTTTTGGGTGTTGTTTGGTTATCTGAATAAACATAAAAGCAGCTGCCATTTTCTTGTAGCAGAGCACATTTTACTAAGATTTGCCTCTAGTGGTTGAGGGTTGGCTCTGGAGATGCAGGTGTGATGGATACAGATGTGAATTTAGCAGCATTTCCTGATCCTGAAGATCAGTACAGAAGGCAATGCTGGACACGGGGAGATGATTGATCCATCCTGAACTTAACATTTGGACAGAAGTGGAGATCCCAAGATGGAGGAAAAGAAATATAGTGGGCATGAGCTTTACTATTGATTAAATATAGGATTCATCTTTGTATAGGGCTGGGGAAGTCACTGTATAGGGATAAATAGCTGCAGGCAACAAATGTCATTGCCAACATAAAATGCATCAGTGAGTGACTGAGTATAGTAAGAAACATGTCAAGAGATGGCAACCCAATACTGCTGTTATAAATATTTGCAATTGTTCTGTAACCTTTCGTATGACAATATAATACCTTTCCCAGTTTCCAAACAACATGGTTTGTAGTCACCTGGCTCTCTGAGAGTACACCTTCTTGTGCTCTGAATAAAATGCATCTGGAAAACGGCTCGCTAATTCAGTCCATTGTGGAGAAGCTCCCAAACAGCACACTCTTGTGATGGCAAGGAACATTCAAATGTTCAAAAGGAACATTCAAAGTAAAACAGGATATAAATACAATGCCAAGCCATTTAATTTATTTAACATAATTTATTTTTGTTAGTGGTAACCTATCATATTAGCATATTTTTGGCTGTGGCAACAATAATTAATATCAAAGTAGTGAAAATATATCCCAAGTTAAAGTGGTAGTAAATTACCACCAAAATTTAAAAAAATGTAAAAATCAGGAACCTGCACATTTAAGTCATAATGTACTAGTATGCATTACATACTAGCACATTACAACAGACTTACCTGGACAAGGAGCCCTCCAGTGCAGCACTCTCATGGCTTCCGGGCGCATCCATCTTCACCTGGTCTTCCTTCTGGGTTCGTGGACTACAGCTAGATGAATGGCCAGAGCAGTGATGATGTCACTCTCGTACGTGTGCACTGGAGCCCGGTATGGAGCTCAGAAGGAACGGCATGGGTATGCCATCCCTTCAGAGCGTATGTGCTGGTGGCATCACATCTTTAGGAGATATTCACTGTACCTACAGGTAAGCCTTCTTATATTAAAAAGTGGACTTTACTTCTGCTTTAAATCTTGTTCCTCCTTTGCTCTATCCTCCCTGTATACATGTTCTAATAAATCACTACCTGAATATCGCAAATCACCAGCACTCCAGTTCCTCCCTCTCTCACAAATTCACTGTTCATTGAGTGAGGGTTTTGAATTTCTATGCCTCCTAGAAACCACTTCTGGGGTGCTTATAACTTCCATATATGTGTAGGGTGCATAACAGTGAATGGGCAGCAAATGAGGGCTAATCTAGGCAGTTGAATACGTTTTTATAAAGTATTCACATCTGAACTAGTTTTGTCATTTTATTTGTTTTTTCAACCCTTGTATATCCACTAAACTACTAAGATCCAGTATTTATCTACCGTATTTTCTGGCGTATAAGATGACTTTTTGACCCTTGAAAATCTTCTCAAAAGTCGGGGGTCGTCTTATACGCCGGTATACGTCAGGGAGGCACTTTTTAGAGGGGCGGCGCGGTGCCGCCACCTTCCCCCCTTCCGACCGAAGGGACACTAAGTACTAAGCAGAGGGCTGCTCTCTCTTACCTGGCTCCCACGACGATCCAGTCCAGGAAGCGCTGCTCCTTCAGTCACTCCGGCCACTCCCTCACTCCTGCCGCTCGGCTCCGCCTCCTCACCAGTGATTGGCCGGCAGAACTGTAGCTCAGGAAAGGCACACAGGCGGCCAATCACGGGCGAGGAGGCGGAGCCAAGCGGACCCATGAAAATCGAGTGAGGGAGCCGGTAAGTGTGCAGTGCAGAGGTGCTGCTGCAACCACATATGCTGGCTGCAGCAGCACCATACTGGAAAAGGGGTCAGCAAGTGTCATTGGTGTCAGTGGGAGGAATAGTGCCCCATCATTGGTGTCACTGATACTAATGATGGGGCATTATTCCTCCCACTGACACCAACGATGGGGCGCTATTCCTCCCACTGACACCAACGATGGGGCGCTATTCCTCCCACTGACACCAACGATGGGGTGCTATTCCTCCCACTGACACCAACGATGGGGCGCTATTCCTCCACTAATACCAACGATGGAGCGCTATTCCTCCCACTGACACCAATGATGGAGCGCTATTCCTCCCACTGACACCAATGATGGGGTACTATTCCTCCCACTGACACCAACGATGGGGCACTATTCCTCCCCCCACTGACACCAACGATGGGGCACTATTCCTCTCTCCCACTGACAATGGGGTACTATTCCTCCCACTGACACCAATGTTGGGTCACTATTCGTCCCACTGACACCAATGATGGGGCGCTATTCCTCCCACTGACACCAATGATGGGGCGCTATTCCTCTCACTGACACCAATGATGGGGCGCTATTCCTCCCACTGACACCAATGATGGGGCGCTATTCCTCCCACTGACACCAATGATGGGGCACAAATCATTGCTCTGACACCAATGATGGGGCACGATTCCTCCCACTGACACCAATAATGGGGCACTATTCCTCCCACGGACACCAATGATGGGGTGCTATTCCTCCCACTGACACCAATGATGGGGCACGATTCTTCGCTCTGACACCAATGATGGGGCATGATTCCTTGCTCTAACACCAATGATGGGGCACTATTCCTCCCACTGACACTAATGATGGGACACTATTCCTCACACACTGACACTAATGATGGGGCACCATCATTGGTGTCAATGGGAGGAATAGTGCCTCATCATTGGTGTCAGTGGGAGGAATAGTGCCCCATCATTGGTGATAGTGGGAGGAATAGTGCCCCATCATTAGTGTCAGTGGGAGGAATAGTGCCCCATCAATGGTGTCAGAGCGAGGAATTGTGCCCCATCATTGGTATCAGTGGGAGGAACCGTGCCCCATCATTGGTGTCAGAGCGAGGAATCGTGCCCCATCATTGGTGGCAGAGCGAGGAATCGTACCCCATCATTGGAATACCATACCGTATTGAAATCAAATCTGATGTTTTTTAATTTTTATTTGGTGTGCGTTGGAAGAGGGGTAGTCTTATACGGCGAGTATAGCCCAAACCCTATATTTTAACAGGAAAAGTAGGGGGTCGTCTTATATGCCCAGTCGTCTTATAGGCTGGAAAATACGGTATATACATCAAGAGATAAAACTACGGGCCATGCGGATACACTGGGACCCAAAAGGTGAATGCAACATTTGCCAAAATAGTTGTAAGAGTGTTGAAGGAGGGAGGTCATTTGTAAGTCCTAAACCGGTATAGCACTTTTTTTTACAGCTCCATACTGGAGGACATATAAACCTAGCTGTGAGAAAGTTAAATTCCACTTATCGATATCTGCTCTAATCTAGATTACCACACCAAGATTTCAGAAATACCTTGCACATTTTATTAATTTAAAACCCCATTCAGGGTCAAATATACTTAACTGCTTTGAGCTCTACTTTTGTGACGTTGCATTGCTAAAAAGCGGCACAGTTAGTGTTGCACCAATTTATTAAAGAACCCTAAAATTTTACATTTCTGTGCAACTATCAGGTGTGCACCTATGCACGTTCTAAGGAATGTTAAATATAGGCACATAGCAAAATACAAAAATGTGTAGATTGTACATTTTGAGCACCAGTTAAAATTATGTACTTGAGCACAAGAGGTATAGGAAACACATAAAATACATTACTGTCATGTCTGTTTGACACATGGTTAACTAAAAGCATCATCATAGGGGACGATGTCTGCCACTGGTTCAGATCGTGACAATGAAGAAGGGTTATCTGACTCCGTTGTAGAAGCTGGGTAGCACAACACTTCATCTTCCTTTGTCCTTCCATCTACAAGTGTTGGGTGATGTAGACATAAGGGCTCCTCTACAACAGCTTGCAAATTTTCTATAGTCATTCCCATTTCCTTGCTGTGTTCAGAAGGTGACTTCCTGTTGATGCGTTTGTATGATTTATCTTTATTCTCCATGCCTTGTTCACTTTTCTGAAAGCGCCCAAAGAATGAAATAAAGAATCCAAACAACACAAAAGCCAAAAGGCTAGGAATAAAAGCCAAACATTTCACATCAAGACTTGCCCCAATAAACCTGCTATGAAGGAACATGTCTCCTTCAACATAGCTTCTGTTAGTATAAGGGTCTGTGTTGTTTGACCTCCACTCCCAAGATAGCATCGTCTGGTTAAGATATTGTAAACTTTCAGCATCTTCAACTGTATAAATCTTTTGACCTGGGCCTATATACTGGCCATATGCTGATGGCTTGTAAAAGATTTGGTTCTTCCACATGTTGAGATCAAGGATCAGCACAAGAAAGATAATCCCATAGTTGAACCATTTACCTGCAAGCAAGGGAAATATAAAAATGTGACTTCTAAATGTATACCAAAAGAGTGAATGTAAAAACCTAATAAGGCATTTCCTACTAGTAATTTATACTCATGAGGTTCACTTAAAGGAATTAGGTAGTTCATTTCATTGATGGCAAGCAACCTGGAAATTATTTTTAGTATTTAGTTTAGTATATTGGTAAGTGCTCATCAGAAATGATCACTTATGAAGCGATTGGTTTATTATGTATATCCGGTGTCATCAGATACAACATAGGTATACTTACTCTAGTATTTATTAAAGGTCTATTTCCCTAGCATTTTTAGTCAGCAGGAAATAAAACCACTCAGGTTCAGTTAAGCATTTATTAAAAACTTTGATAAGAAGTCTTGTGTATTCTTAGGTTAATGCCATTCATAACAAGTGGGGTTAAGACAACTAACCACAGAGGTAAACTTCATAAATCTAAGTAATTCTGAGCATTGCATAGTCATTACCATTAGATATAAAAGCAGAAAAATGTATTTTCTTGTGTATGCTATTCCAAACAACCAGTCATCAGTAAAAATGTGTTTGGTGATAGATTAGGTAATATGACATTAGCTTATAGTAGTTATTTACATTAACCTCCCTAGCGGTATGATTATTTCCGATTTTTTTAAATTTTTTTCGCATGGAAATATGTAGTTTTTTTATTGTAGGCCTGTAATTTTTAGGAATAACTCACTGAAATTGTATGAACAAAAATCTAGTAAACATTCCGGATGTGATAAAACTTGAAACACGAAATCATAAATTATAATTTAATAAATAATCATAAAAAATATAATATAATAATAATAAATTTAATTCAATAATATAATCAAACCAAAAACACTGAAATTTTAAATACAGAGGCAACTTCGCACATCGCTGAGCAAAGTCGCAGAATCGTTTTCAGTGTCTGATGATGAATTTTGCCACGAATCATTATCACTCAATTCTGCAAGTGGTTCTGATTTACTATCGCTGTTCTCTAGCTGGTCTAAAACCGCTTTTGATGTAAAGGGACGCTTTTTGGACGCCATGGACTTTTCTAAGTTTCCAGGCAGAAAGAACAGTCAAAATGCAGACAGGGGACAGGACAAAGCACTCGGGACAAAATGTATGTGAAATGCATTGAAACAGCAATGTTTTTACTATGTAATAATCATTTTAAAAAAATGAAATTTTTAAAAAATTTCAAATTTGCCGCCGATTCCAGTCCCGACGTCACAGGGACCGGAACACGGAAGCCGGATGCCGGCATCGGCCAGAGAAGATGGCCGGGGACGCTGCAGGGGACACATCGCGGGAGCGAAGGACAAGGTAAGTGCTGCAGGGACTCCCTGAGCAATGCCGCATGGTAAGCCCGAGTGTAGCTCGGGGTTACCGCTCTTGGTACTCAAATTTTACCCCGAGCTACACTCGGGAATATAGCCATGGAGGTTAAAAGACCATCTCTTGATACTTATAATTTTGGCAGGTTTAGCTAGCAGATGAGAGGTCAATATGGTGCAAATGTCTTCCAGACACCAACTTTAAGTCCCTGGTCACACCGGTGTGAACTGTCATGCGTTTCCATCATTTCAAATCACATGACACACAGTCGCACCCTATTGTCGACTATGGAAGCGGTCAAATTGATGCAGTGCCGACTGCGTTGGAATTGCACCGATTTTGAAAGTAGGTCATGCACTACTTTTTGCAAGCTCAGGTGTGACTTGCATAGACATCTGTGCATGAGAGCTGCACAGATGTCTTCCAAGTTGCACTGACACCTTACTTTGAATTCAAGTGAAGTCACACGATTTCAAAGTCGGATTTGGTGTGACCGAAGTGTAAATTACATCAGATCAACAAAGCTGGTAAGTGATTGCAACTACATAATAAAGATATTGGGGTTGGTTTGGTGCACAATTCAGAGTTGCATCTGCAAGGGAATTTTCCCCAGAGCTTAGTGAAAGAGGTGAAGCTCTTCTGACTTCATCCAATCATGTACAAGCATAAAATGCTGTTTTGTTTTCTAATTTTCCTTGCACATGATTAAGCAGTCTTTGCAAAGTGAAGTTTCACCACATTCACTAAGCTCTAGGGAAATTTCCCTTGCAGAGTGTAACTTCACTTGCAAAAGCTAACAGTGTATTTGTCTTTAGTAAGTCAACCCCATTTTGTGCACTAATTTTGTAAATTTTAAATATCCCTTTAATCCAATGTGTCTCAAATTCCAGACATGGCCATTAAGCAACACTGACAGTTCCAACCTCCAAACCACTACCTTTTGTTCCTGGACAAGATGTGGTTCCTTAGCATTAAACCTAGTATGATGTATTTACCTGGTTGACATAACAGGTATCCATTGTTATTTTTATAAGAGCTGGGTGTAGTCCACCAAGGCAAAAGTAACCAAAGCATATTAATTATACAACCATTAAAACTCAAAGCATTTACTACACGTATCATAACATGCAAATATACCTGTTATATGTATGTGATATTCTTCTTTAAATATTCTTTGAAATTTTGGTAGTTTGAACTGCACATGTGATGTAGGTAAACCAGGCAAATTGACATCAACGTCTCCCATAAAGTGTGGAAATTCCCAGTCCTAAACAAGAGTTAAAAATGTTAACCTAAAAATCATCATTTAACTTACTAGTTACATGCTTTACATGCCCAAGATTTAAAAAAAATATATATTTGAATCAGTGGATTGTTAAGGTATGTAATAACTTATGAAATACTCACCTACACCTGTGTAGAATCTCAGCCCAGTGGTCACCAATGCAGGCAACCTTAAATACAGCAGACTGTCTGAGAAGCATAAAGATTTAGCACCTAGACCAAAAGGAGAGTATTTTTTTCTTCATTCCAGAATGCAGTGCAACAATTTGTCATTCTGTTAATTTCAAGCATCTTGTCAAGTTTTTTTTTTCCTAAATGATGCATCTTAATCCTGAGTAGTAGTATTTTCTCTGTTCCATTGTCCAACTTGACATGCTGTTATTGCCAAAGCCTGGAGTCATTACACTACCATGAGACAGGAAGATGATTTTGATTATAGCCTAAGCCACTGCTGCAGCCAAAGTTTCCAAAGTACCACGGGTTGCAGGAAAGAAAATTGCTTGATTCCCCCATCAACACAGTCAGTGTTGATAGGGGAAACCCTCTCACAGAGCTATTGTGTTCTCCCACAATGATTATTGCAAGCGGCTATAGTCGCTGGCAATAATCGCATGCTAAAAATCCGTCATGCTGATTGCACCCAAGTCGGTCAATGGATCCCTGGTGAACCAGCCAAGATTCAATCCATCTTTGATTGGCTTTATTCTGTGCTGCACCTATGCTGCCTGGTCTCCACTACATCTCCAACCTCACCACTGCTGCACCCAGAGCCTAAGCCTTTGCTGAACCCCAGCCTGGTTTCCATTGCACTCACATCTTCTGTTGCTCCTCAGCGGCCGTGAAGTTTCAGCCTCTGCTGCCCTCACATCATCCGCTGCATCACAGCTGCATCCACAATTTCCTGAGAACCAACAGCCTCACCATTTCTACGATAGTCTCCACTGCATCCACAGTCTCTGCACTCACAGTCTCCAGTCTCAGTCCTGCCTACAGCTGCCCATGTCTCTCTCTCATTTCAATTACCTGGCACAAACCTTCCTCTGCATCTTCAAGTACCTGTAGAGTGACCTAGGTGCAGCCAGCAGCTACTCCCAAACTGCTGTAAGAAGTTTCCTGGCAGAACACCAGCTACCCTACACGCAGGAGACGGGTCCACATCTTGATTTGTGACAGTAGATTTCAGCACCTAGTGTCTCCACAATTTTGATGCTTCACTTCATTAGGACATATTTTGTGATTCAGGGGGCTGTACCCCATCAATTTTACAAACACCTGAAAATACTGCTCCCAATGCATTATCTCTCATCGTGTATCCCAGGCTCTGCTGTACCATCTGTGGGTCCCCAAACAGCAGGGAGGTCAATGAACATTAGTTCAATGATCCTTCTTCCAGCATCACTGCTAGCTACAAGCAAAAATGATGAATGTACTAAACATGTTACATATTACTGTGCATGTGGGAGTGAAACATTAATTCTTGAGTCATTATGTTAACTCTAAACTGTGACCTGTAAGGGCTTTTTAAGCATCACCTATGGACAAGTTGGGGTACCAAAGTTTGTTGCCATTTCTTGGGCACACATAGTTTTAAGGCTTGACATGTTGGGAATTTACTTACGTGACACAACCTCATCTTTTATATTTTAATAAAATTTGGGTAATATTTTGCCTTTGTGTGCAATAACAACCTTAACATAACATAACCAAAACCTTAGTTTAACATAACCATAATAACTTTAAACTGCCCATGGGACTTTAACAAGGTACCAAACACAAACAAATGCCAATCACCAAACACAGTAAATTAGACATAAAATAACATATTATTAATGTACACATAATATAAAAAAATCCTTTTGCAAATGTAGGCGATATTGTTGAAATTATAAAATAGAAGTTGATTTACTATATTATAACAATTTCCACATTCATGATAACATCATGCCCTTTAATTACTATATTTCCATATCATTACACTGAATTATTTTCCAGCAATTCCAACAAGTATAGAGAGCATGTCACATATCTCAACGTGTTTCATGATCATTAATTCACTTTATCAGGAGTGGATGCTATTCACAAGATATCTAAAGAATATTTAAAACATAGATTCAATTGTTTGTTCAAAAATATATTATAATGGATATCCACCTAGGAATGATACCACCTTATAGGTAGCAAATGTGAAAAAAAACACTTACGAATCAGCTTGAAATTAAAAGCCATAACACCTCAGGAGGAACATCACCCAGGATGTCTGCCCCGGAAGCTATGGGAGGAGACCGAGGACCAAACTAACAGAGGGGGCAAAGATGACACAGAAGGACCCATGGACAGTGTTACAACCTAAATTGTAAAAAAGACCCACCTCCAGCGTCAAAGGGGCTATATCCCAGCAGCAAAACAATGCATTTGTCCTAGTCTCAAAGGACCACATCCTGTTTTCCCCCCACTCTTTAGAGGCCCCCAGGTATCCACCCAATGTAAAAAACAATGCTCTAATAATATATAATATATAGCCAATGCTAATTACTAAGCAACTGCTTCTGAAATTGAGCTGATGCAAATCTTTCTCCTTTGTCCTGCTCTATCACCTCCGGAGAAAGTATACTAAGCCAATTTAATCTATACTGTGGGGAGCCTGACCATTTCCATGACATCTGTTCTATTCGGCCAAGTAAGTCCAAATATTTACTTATCTTCAGGTCAAAGGGAAATTATCAACTTTCATTGTTCTTCCAATTTTGTTGCAGGTGGCTGGAAGGAAAAACAAATTCCAGGCCATCATTGACTCAGGGGCTTATATCAATGTCATCCTTCCAAAAGACTTATAGTTTCCTCTTAGCCCCAACAGACAGCAGCTAATCATCCATCTTGCGGATGGAACACATCCAAAATATGGGTCCATCACTCAAAGGACTGTTCCTACCTTGTTCACAACCAGTTCCAGACATCAAGTTCTATCTCAACTGGTGCTGTTGCCCATGGGACCAGCTTATATGTTTCACTGTTCCACACACCATAGAAAATTAAAATGTGAAAGCTGACTGGCTTTGCTCCAATCAAAACAAAGTAAGGACAAAGTTTGTAACAACCACTTTTTATTAATTCCTCCTAATAGCTTCATCTGTGCCTTACGTGTATTTCATTGACTTTGCAAAATAATGTAAACTGGGCCTTCTTACAGGTGCTTTGTGTCTGCTTTATTCAATGATACTCTTCCTATTGCTGTTTAATATTTCCAGATGTGGTTGTTGAATTTAATTAGTATTTTTTTACTAAAGGCAAATAGTTTTTTCTCTTTTTCATAGAATGTTCACTTTTTTATTAATTATATAACCCCCCCCCCCCCCCACACACACATTATGTTTAATTTCTATCTCAACAACCCAAATATTCTAGGTAAGCAGACTTGAAATGTTAAATCCAACCTGTTACAGGAAAGTAAACTGACCTAAAAGCTAAGAATGAGTTACCATTAAAAATCTCTGCTGCTGTTGAAGTGTCTCCTGTGAACTAATCCTTCTGTTTTTCACGCTATAGTTAATACAGCCATTAAATACAGTTGTGTTCAAAATAATAACAGTGTGTTGAAAAAAGTGAATAAAGCTCAAAATCCTTCTAATAGCTTTTATTTCCATACACACAAATGGATTGGGAACACTACATATTCTATTCCAAATCAAAACATGAAGAAAAATATATCAAATTTGTGTTGTTCCTCTAAAAAAAAGTGAAGAAAAGTGAATATTAGACTGTTCAAAAAAAATAGCAGTGTTTGTATTCATCTTTACAAACTCAAACATTCACTATATAAACTGAAAAATGTTTGAAGATTTTGCTTTCCTTTGAATCACTTAATGAATATTTAGTTGTATAAGCACTGTTTCTGAGAACTGCTGTACATCTGTGTTGCATGGAGTCAGCCAACTTCTGACACCTGTGAACAGGTATTCCAGCCCAGGATGATTGGACTACATTCCACAGTTCTTCTCTATTTCTTGGTTTTGCCTCAGAAACTGCATTTTTGATGTCACCCCACAAGTTTTCTATTGGATTAAGATCCGGGGATTGGGCTGGCCACTCCGTAACGTCAATCTTGTTGGTTTGGAACCAAGATGTTGCACGTTTACTGGTGTGTTTGGGGTCGTTGTCTTGTTGGAACACCCATTTCAAGGGCATTTCCTCTTCAGCATAAGGCAGCATGACCTCTTCTTCAAGTATTCTGATGTATTCAAACTGATCCATGATCCCTGGTATGCGATAAATAGGCCCAACACCGTAGTATGAGAAACATCCCCATATCATGATGCTTGCGCAACCATGCTTCACTGTCTTCACAGTGTACTGTGGCTTGAATTCAGTGTTTGGGGTTCGTCTGTCTCCGGCCACTAGACCCAAAAAGAACAATCTTACTTTCATCAGTCACAAAATGTTGCGCCATTTCTCTTTAGGCCAGTCAATGTGCTCTTTGGCAAATTGTAACCTCTTCAGCACGTCTTTTTTTCAACAGTGGTACTTTGTGGGGGCCTCTTGTAGATAGCTTGGCTTCACATAGGCGTCTTCTAATTGTAACAGTACTCACAGGTAACTTTAGACCTTCTTTGATCTTCCTGGAGCTGATTGTTGGCTGAGTCCTTGCCATTTTGGCTATTCTTCTATCCATTCGAATGGTAGTTTTTCCCTTTCTTCCACATCTTTCAGGTTTTGGTTGCCTTTGCGATCATTTTAGCTGAGCAGCCTATCATTTTCTGCACTTCTTTATATATTTTCCACTCTCCAAGCAACTTTTTAATCAAGTTACGCTGTTCTTGCGAACAATGTCTGGAACGACCCATTTTCCTCAGATTTTCAGAGAGAAATGCACTGTAACCAGCATGTACAACATTTGCTGCCTTCCTTCCTTAAATAAGGGCAATAATTGCCACCTGTTTTTCAAAGAATGAATGACCTCACTAATAGAACTCCACACTGCTATTATTT